TGCATTTACAGTAAAGATCTGCTTTTATGGGACAGTGAGTGCTAGGGTTAAGGTTATGCATTGGAATAACAACAGATTACAGGCCAGTTCCTGGATTGGGTTTTTCTAGGTTTTTTGCAAAGGTTGACAATAACATTGGATACACTCTCAATTTCCTGCAGTAAACTATTATCACTGTCACATATTTTGCTAAAAATCATCATAAAGTTTGGATTGGGACCATATGTTTATGTCACTGATTATAGATGAAGACATGTAGAGACTTGTAATAATAATGTACATACAGGAGCTGCATCATACCTGAAAAAATTATGGATTATGTATGCAAGGAGATCAAATACACTTTCACGTTAAAGCTAGATTGGAGTTATTTTTATTTATTTATTTGCAAGGTATTTGGTGATTTCCGGCCCTTACACGGCAGATAAGCTTCCCTTTGACTTAGAATCCAAGTATGTAACAAATTATTGGCATGTAGTTGAACATAAGAAGAGCCTCATTCCCATCAGGTGTTACCATACTTGTTGCATCCAGTTCAGACCTTGATCTAAAGTACTTACCTAGGGTACATAAAGTATACCCATCTACATAATTCAATTTGTATTTTTCCTCACTTCTCTTTTTCTTGCTTTGTTGGAAATTTAATGGAAGCTATGGTTTATTAAACTTAACTTTGGTAACTTAGTATGATACATTACACAAACGTTTCGAGCGAGGAACGAGTAAGGAACAAATCAAAAGTATAAAGAACCTGTTTTTAAACAATAAAAAGTGAATTAAACATTTTCACACACTTGGCCCCACTGCAGAGACCCCGGTTTATGACCGTTTATGGCTGTGTTGTGTCTGGCTTGTTTGTGTCTACTGGTTGAACACAGTTGGCAGTGTTTGTGGGTGGAAAGCTGGTGGGGGATTATCATCACTACACTAGCACCTCTTGCTGGTAGGTAGAAGTGCCTGTGAAAAGGGAGAAACATCTCTTAAAAAAACAATACATATTATTATAGGGCCTGCCATATAACAACCACTACTAAAATTAAAAAATTCGCCTTATCTCCCGCTCCAGTATCACTTTGGACCACTACTACCACCACTGTAGGTGAACCCAGGATAATTTCCATGCTTCCCGTTCGTTGTCAATTCACATGCGAGAGTGGCTGTTCATATTAGAAGCACACGGTCAAGAAGTGGTTCTGCTTCTCTGCTAATTTCTAATCATACATTGAGCTGATCGTTCTAATAACTTCATGAATTGAAGTTAAAAGGACCTTCTTGTGATGATCTGCAGGGAAGGTCTTTTCTCCTGCTGTCTGTGTATGTGTATGCTGTGTGTCCCCGATGAAATCAGGACGGCGGGTGACCGAGGAGTGGACATTCTCATTGCTCCATTACGCTCACATGCCCTGGTTTCACTAGTGTCGTGGCAGTTCACTAGCCAATATCTGGTTTCTTCTGCTCTCTTTCTCCATCCAGCTCCAGTCATTCCTGCAGATCAGCGTGTTCCAAATCCGGGTAGACGAGTGTCCTGGTTCAGAGTGCGCCGGGGCCAGTGGCTGCACCAATGTTTTGAATTTGCGGGACACACCCACAGTGGTGGATTGTGGGACGATGAGTCTTGTATCTGTAACAGTGGAATCCACAGCTGTATGCTCCTGCCCGGGTAGAGAGCAGTCCCACCAGCCCTGCACCGCATATCCCAGAAACCCCTGCTTCAATGGTGGCGTGTGTGTGGACACTCAGCACGGCTACAGGTGAGTTGAAAAAGAACGGCATACAAAATACAGAGCCTGAGGGGAAGAGTTTATTTTAAAGCCATGACTTTTTCTAACAAAAAATTTAACAAATTACTCTTGTTATTCACGCCAACAGACACAATAACCTTGGACATAAATTCTATTTCATTTTCCCAGCCAATTACAGGAAAGAGAACTCGAAGCTTAGATATTACTTAAGCAGAAATTGCTGAAAATACAAATATAAATAAGTGAATACAATGATGCAATATTCTGAAACTGTTGACAGTCAAATATGGTGGTAATGCTGTGGCTTGATTTTACTGAACAGTGATCGTGCCGTTCAAACGTGGAAATTTGCAGACACACACTACAATCACTGACTAAATAATAACAGTGTTTCCCACAGAATTCCAAAATGTAACTGTGGTTTGGGAGGTCGGCAAAGTGAGATAGAATGAGCTGGGAAAGTAGGAGCACTGGACCTGTGATAGAAAAATCACAAAGGGTGCCAACAGCAATTTTGGACATGATTGTACACTAGAATGGCTATCTGTGTGTGTTTCTGTCTGTGTGTGTGTGTTTTAGAGATTAAAGTTGAAGCAATGTAGGAAACTCATTTAACACTTCAGGCTGTTCTTTTTATTTTGTGACTGGTGTCTCTCTCTGTTTCTTTCTCTTTCCTCTCTTTGTTTTTCTTACTGTTTTGTCTTCACTGCCTTTGTTCTGTGTTGTTGCCTGGCTATGGAGGCTAAAATGTGAGAGAGCTATTTTAACCTTTTCTTTCTCTTGTTGGATGCTGTCTCTTTGAGCTGCCCTGCTAGCCTTAAAGTTGAAGCCTCATTATGAGGGTATGAAGTCTCACTTCTGGAAAACTGAAAACCACAAGCTGGTTGATGTCAGTATACAGATTGCAGTGCTCTTGAGTTATTTCAGTAAATATAATGTGCCAATAAATCACTATGCATTGCCATGGTCTTGTACTTATATAAGGAAGACATTTTGAAATGTCAAAGTTCAAGTTCCCTTGATTATCCTTATTAGTAACTTCAACAGGAATAATAGAACAACCCCAATTCCAATGAAGTTGGGATGTTGTGTAAAACGTAAATAAAAACGAATACATATGGATTTGCCAAATCCTTTTCAAACCTATATTCAATGATACACTACAAAGATCCAGATATTAAATGTTCAAAACTAGTGACTTGTTTTTTTTTTTGCAAATATTTCATCACTTTGAATTTGATGCCTGCAACACGTTCCAAAAAAGCTTTTGGAATTTGGAATTGGGGATCATTGTTTCTTCATTGTTTACACATCATTACTCAGCACTCTATTTCAATGGAAACTCATAATATATAAGAAATAAATGTATCCTTGTCAGGCAGTAAACAACCATTATTAAAAAATCAGCTTCTGGAAAAACTGACCTACATGAAGATGTAAGGTCTTTTGAAATGGCTTTGAGATTGTTTTTGGATGTTAATTAGTTGGACTCCGCTGATGGGATAACCTCCTCTGGCAGAAAGATGCACTGTGCTTTAAATAATTAAAAATGTATCACTCTGGATAACCTACAATCATAATTGTGAAAACCCAATAATTTTGACATATAATAGTTGTTGCTTTTTTGTAATACTGAAATGATATGGACCTGATATGGAACCAGCCTGATTATTCACCATATGTTAACTAATGGTTTACAAGAAACGGCCCCCAGATCTTCCATAAATGACCCAAATACTGTACATCACAACTTCTTAGAAACTCTTTGTTACTCTACTTCACAGCTTTTCATTGGATATGGTTATTCAGGATATGGCCTGAAGTTTTGTTTGGTCTATGGTACGTGTTTTTACTAAAACTACCAATATACTATAATTAAAGTGTAGGTTTTACTGGGATCACTTTTCCCTTAAGAGGAAATTCATCTAAATTGTTAAATTAACAACAGCAATCTACTGTACTTTTATCCCATTTTCAGTTATATTGGCATAATATTGGTTTTCCCACCATGAAAGACCTGACATCTTTACTACTTGAAAAGCTTAGAATTATATGAATCAAAGATTATGGTGAACTAACTGGAAAGCCATTCATTGAATAATCTCAGGACATTAGAGATATGTGTGTATGGCTATGTGTGGTTGTAAGCCTCTGCAGTGTTTAGCTAATCCTACAGCTTGTGTGCAGGATCAGGCTGGGGGAGCAGATATAACATATACAGAGAAATCCCAAGCAACTCATGTTGTCATTAAATAGAAAGCACACATTCGGATAGCAGGCCTGTCCTGTGGTTTAAATGCTTTCTCTTAGTGCATCAAGATCAGTAAACACCTTGTGGTGATAGTTTATGCCAGATTGTTGGTTCTGCCAGACATGAATTCCCAGTACTCCTGCTTTACTACTACCTTGCCTCCAGACTTAAGAAGTTGTACAATGTGGGATGTGTTGTTTGGTTATGTAGGAAAGAAGTTTGACACAGTAAATCAGGTTCTAGTTTGGCTGTTGCTGTTAATGCACCGACTGCAAAAAAGCTTAAAATATCAGGAATATCAAAACGAAGACAATGAACACTAGCCACAGTGAATGAAGACTGGTATGATGAGGAAGAGAGCAGGGGGAGATGGATGTGAAGGGAGGAATTAAAAGGAAATTAAAGGAGTTAGCATAACCTCAAAGCATATGCTTTTGAGACTGTGTCGGAGAGATGAATGCAATATGCCTGTGGTGTTTGTGTGTAATTGTGCGCATGTGTGTTCACGCTGTGTTTAGTTTAGAGGCAAACTCTCTCTCCAATGATTTCAGTGATTAAAAACTGTGTAGGAAATGAACACATCAAAACAAACGACAGTGCCACTGAAGGAAACTTTTATTTAATACTATGGCAGCAAATGTTCTAATAATCCCATAACCGCAGAGCTCTTAATTTGAACTCCCAGGTCTTTTCACACTTATTTTGCTCATTAACAGCAGAGTATGTTGTTTCTCACTGGCATTTTGCAACTGTGGATGAATGAATTAAAATGAATTTGCAATTAGTTTTTTTTTTTCTTCACGCTAAAGGGAATTCTTGAACCTCTGTTATAGCTCTTAACAGCTGTTTCAGCTGAACATACGTCTTCATCTGGTGGAGGAATTTCATATTGGAATGGGGAAGTGTTGGCAGCTTCAGCTACAGTATGGCAGGGAGGGTGTAGTTGCACCAAACTTGTTTTAGGCTGTTTATTTAAACAACCATTATTTGTTGTTGTGTTCATATCCATTTTTGTATCAGCAAAAGGCATTTTGGGTGAGTCCACCACTGGATTTACCTGGTTTTGTACATAAGTTATTCCTCCTCACAATGAATTGTAATAACTTAAGTAATACATAAATCTTTCATCAAAGTTTGGTTTCAAAAGCGGCGCTTTAACCTATATTTTTAGTTACAATGAGTTTGAGGTGTGATGGTGAGTGTGAAGTATGACCTTTTATTGTTAGGACTAACATTGCGGCTGCTCCTTAATTGGCGGGGCATCATGCTGCTGCCAGTGTTAATGTTCTCTTTCTGTTTGGGTCTGTTCTCCAGCTCAGATTGGCACCACTTATTTTCGCCCCTTTTCTGGTGCGATGCAAAAGTCTACTTTATTATTTGTTATAGTCTATTGGAACATGTGTAACTGCGCTTTTTGTCTTTTCCTTCATGTTGTGCAAGAAGAAAAGATTGGCAAGACAGCAATGTGAGAGAGTTGTCCCTGATTGGAGGGGAAGAGGAAATAAGGAGACAGGTCCCTGGAACTGTCTCCAGCACTGTGAAGATAGGTCTGCCTATGTGAGACTACTGGCACTGTGACAGAGAGTGCAATATACATCAACATATCGAAAAAGTTAAAGAGGCATTGCTCGCAGCCCAAGCAACAAATGCATCAAATCCTGCTTTCTACGGTTTACTAACTCTCTTTTTTACGCTCATATTCAGTTTTTTGCTTCAGCTATTTCATTCTTTACATTTCTTAATGTGTAAAATGGGCATTAACACTAAGTATGGTTTAATACAGCAATATACATAGAATGTGGGGGGAAAAAGACAGCTACAAAATTCCCTTATAGCTCCAGCGTCCTGATGCCCAAGTCTGATTGTGTCTCCCTTGCTTCCAGCAACAATTCAACGCTTGAATGGCTGTTGCGTTCATCCTCTAATACCAATGTCAAAGCTCAACTATACAGTATCTAATTTTGTATATGGGCACTCACATGCCCAGAAACACAGCAAAATTAAAATTATGCAGACTTTGCATTAATAGGAAGTGGGGCTGTAGACAGGAAACAATGTAAAAATGGAACAAGAGTTTTCGTTGCAGCTTTGACATGTTGACAGAGAAGCCACTGTTCGCTGATACATGGATGACACCACAATGTCAAGCACATACAATGGATTTTGAATTGGTGAAACTAAATTGTGTTGTCTTTGTTCTGCTCTCCTTTAGGATTTCCAACAGTCTCTCAAGGTTTTGTGGATTTACCATAAACTCTGAAACATAATTATGCTACTCAACTGTAACTGACTGTATGTGTCCTTCGTCCATCTGTTCATTTCGCCCAATTTTCCTATATAAGAGCACTTCATTTTAAAATAAAGTGCCAGGGGACCATGCTCAGATTTTGCACATTTAGTTTACAAGGCCTCACTGGATGCAGACATCAGTGCTGCCGTTCCTGACAGGGTTTAACTGCCTGGCCTTTCTGCAGTTATGGAGTCTGCCTTGCAGTTAAAAAAATGTGATTTTCAGAACATTCTTGGCGGAGTCTAACTCAAAATACAGCTCTTGTTTGCTTCTGTGTTCCCTAGCGTTATAAATAGAAACAAACCTTTCACAACCTCCTGCTAGATGAAAACTCTAGCATGTTAGCTGTCATATACTGCCAGCTCTTGTTTCGAATTCCTGGCAAACAAGTAAACTGAAGGAGAGTGTCTTCATTAGCATAAATTACTCTGTAAACAAGGCCAAAAGTGGGGTGAGAGCGTTTCAACA